ATTTGATGAATTTGTCCATTGGTCCTTCTCGATTATTTTCTGATGATAATGATGATGATGATGATCTCTTTGAACAAATATGTCCCAGTAGATGTTTTATGCTTTGACTAACACGAGACTGATAAGAATAAGTATCTTTACATTTGAAACAGTTTGCAAAACTAATTATTCGTTGATAAGAACCATCTTCTACATGTTTAGCAGGAAAACCAAATGTTGACCAATTAGGTGATGGCACGTGCTTTTGATCATTTTTTATGACAAGAAATTGTTCCGAGTTATCTTTTTGTTTCAAAAGATTTTCCATTGATAATGTTGAATATTGTTGGATTAAATTTGGACTTAATGAAGAAGAAATAGTGCAATTTGATGAAGATATATTAATATTAGTATGATAAAATAACAAAAATATGAATCGAGGAAAAATAATAAGTAAAAAAAATATTTATCTAAAATAAAAAAAGTATACAAGTAAAAACAGTCAACAATGTAAGGTACTGCACCAAATAAAAGAAAAGATATAGGGTTGGTGAGTTCAAAGATGTGCAATATCTCACTGAATGTTTATTTTAAAATATAATGTGAGAGAAAAACAAAGAAAAAGGAGGACACATTATATAATAAGTGGACAAACAATACAACAATAAAATAACAATAAAGGTCAGATCCTAACACCCTTACTCCCCAAAAAAGTTTTTCGAACAATGAGAGAAAAACTTTCAAAAAAAAGATCAAATAACAAATGAAAAGTTCAACACGAACAAATGAGAAAAAGAAAAGGCAACAACAGAAAAAAACTTTGACTAGAAGAAAAGAAAGACAACATAATAACAAAAAAGGAGAAAAAAAAAATTTTTTTTTTCTATTGTTAATGTTCATCTTGACGATAATGTTGATAATGTTCTTGATCAAATAAATCACCGGGTAGTCGATCAAAATATAAATCTACTAGAGATGATTTCTTCATGCTAATTGATAATACTTGAGTAGATTTGTCAAGTTTTAAATGAATGTAACGAACACCACGATCACGAAGAATATTTTTAATTTGTTTAAGTGTAAATCGATGATAGACGTTGCGATAAATAACATGTCGATCCCGATATGACCGTAACACTTTGTTATGTTTTCGATTTCGACGTGTTTGTGCAGCTGCTGAACGACATGTTCGACGTGATCGAGGTTGTTCATCAGAAGATAATTGTTGATCCGATAAAATAAGTTCTATAATATCATCATCATGTGTTGTTGCATGACAAATTTCAACATTTCGAGTGTTATTAACTGATGCTTCTGGACCACGTTGACTAGAAAGAAAGGAAACAAATATTTCATCATCTTCTTTACTTTCATCTTCAGAAATATCTTCTAATAAAGTTGATAAAGGTAATGATGATGAATGACGTGGAGCATTTGAAATTAGTAAAGATGTTGATGTTACTTCATTTTCATCGTCAGAAATATTTTCCAATAAGGTTGATGAAGATAATGATGAAGAATAAGGTAGAGCATTCGAAGTAAATAAAGATATTAATTCTGCTTCACAAAGTTGAGTTAACGACCATTTATCATAAATTGCTTGATGTAATAAAGTGACGGCAAAGCAATCATAAATTGCATAATTAATTCGTTTACGCCGTTCAGATGATGATAATGGTGAATAATTTGAATCTAACATAATACTCCAATTTTTCTTTGTTGATGATTTATCAAGAAAACGATTAATAGTATAACGAATCGCATTTTGTAATGACCACTTATCTGTTGATTTAACATAAGGGAAGTTGCTTGTACAAATGCATCGGGATTTCGAAGACATGGCCTTATTCAAGGCTTGAATCGAGCCACATGCCTCGCACGGAGGCAGTGCCCTTCGATACCAACTAGGAAATTCATCTTGCAAATTAATTAATAATGCAGGTACTGACCATGTAAATAAATTCATTTGTACAGCAGATATTAATTCTTCAGACATCGATCCCCAAGAAAAAATAATATTCCCTAAACGAAATAAAAGACTAAATAATTATTTAATTTTACCCATTAATAATGAATCAGACGGAGGAAGATGATTAATTTCAAATAATAAAATAAATGATGGTAAATGTTGAGGAATAGAATGAACTTGAATAAGAGATAAATCATATGTAAATCGATCTGATTCAGTATCAATTGAATATCTATAACATGATTCGAAATGATTAATTAATGTTGAGATTGTATCAATGATAGTAAATCGATGGACATGCACAATATTATAATACGATGATGGAATAGTAAATGAAAGATAATTATGTCGATAATTTTTGTTTTGTTCTTCTAAACGAATATTACGAC